AGACTTAAAGCCACGAACAAGTTGGGTCTTGTGGATACAGGGCTTCATTCCTAAATTGTAGTTCGGTCAGCGGTCAGTACAAGACTTTAGTTATCAAATCGTCGACTAAAATCTCGGATCATCGTGTACCTAATAATTAATTAAAAAGACCCCTTCGCGAACAACTATCTAAGCAATAGGCAGCTTACCAGGGTCCTAGGGCGGCTTGAGTTCCCGATCTACAAGACCTATAATAGCTCGAGTGATCGCTGTTACAGGGCACCAGGGCACGATATAACTCGACAGGGGTAATTCTGTACCTGACTACCCGAATCCAGCACGTTGGCTGGCTAGTAACACAACAGATCGCCAGCGACAAAAACCGTTCACAGTATTGCGCTGCAGATCCAAGACACGAAGAAACATACATCGTGCTATTGCACTTCCAAATCAATTGTTCTGAGACTTAGCTACTGCTCTACCGAGCTTCTCACGGCTCTCCGCATGAACGGATGTAAACGTGAACAAACAGCTGAGCTACGTACCGCAGCGCCCTTAGAAATTTAATAGTTACTTACCTATATGCATGCATACATACCTTATTGATGTATGTGGTAGCTCGCGAAGTTCGTTAGATCTGTGACGAAGGAATTAGCTAGCTATTTCCTAATCTACGCTGAGCGGTTAGTCGAGATTCGCAAGTAACACCTGCAAAGGGGCGCCGCCATATCTAAAGCACAGTTAGCTGCACCCGATACCTATTTCCGGGGTCCCCAACGCCTCGTGTTGCCCAGGTGCTGCGGAAGTTATTATGCAGGGGGCCCCTTTCCGGCGTCTTCGCCAGACCTTCTCATTGGGACGATCTTCAGAGATGCGGTTTGCGAGAGGTATCGAGGCGCAAAATGGCATTAAGTGCCACGCCCAGGGCAGCACGCCTCACTTTTCCGGGGGAGCTAGTTTTGTGGCTCGCCCATGTCGCCCTCGAAATGATTGTCGGCTCGCGCATGCGGCCCGAGTGCTTGGTCCCGATTCCCGTCCCAGGCCCCTGGGTTTGGATGCCACCACAGCTTACTGCAGCTAGCTTACGACTAGCTGCCGCTGCTTGTTAAGCTAATGGGATACGGGTCGTTGACCGGTCAACTATGCAGGCCTTATCTTGGACCCTTTAATGCTCAACGTCACCGTAGAGGGAAACTATTTTGTTAACAGAGAACCCATCTAAAGAGATCTACGTAGAAGGTCCATGCGCAAATCATGTACCATGTACCTCTGTGGCTTTACATCCTTGAGCCTGGCTAATCATTGAAGATCCCGTTTTAGATAAGTTGAAACTAATTGGACGTGTGGTTATATAGCCGGTATTCTCTGAACCGGTCCTTCGACCACCAATCAAACTTCTAATCTCTACTAGGTACCTGCCGGTACTATGTATCTATAAATTGAACAGTTCGCTAAAATAGGCAGCCCATGTGGTGTTCAACATATCGAAGCCATTCAGTGGACACAAGCCCTAGACCATAAGCAATGGTAAGCTGCTAAGATCAGCTGAAAGGCCTTACTTCTAGCATTAGAAACAGATATGGGACCGAGATGGTGTGGACCAAATCAAAGCTCTGATTCCAGCTCGCTCTACAATACTCGTTCGATAGTGTCAAGAAAGGGAGACGTGACAAACGCCCCCCCTGCTATCGAACATTGTTACCAGATACATTCGAATAACCAATCAGTCTTCATCCCGGTGTGTTACCAACAAGGGGAGCCTTCAAAACGTCGACAAGGTAGACAGGTAGATTTCTTTTTTTTTTCCCTTTCTCGCCCGAAACGGCCTCAGCTGCCGACAACGCGTGGTCTGGCTGTCTGGGCATGCCAAATCTGTCAAATTGGACCAGAACACCCTCCCCCCTTGGCCGAGATCAATGCAACATCGTTTCTCGATTCCTGCTTCTCGAACCTCTAGGCTGGGCAGGTAAGCGGCGCTCCGGCGGCAAGGGCGGTTCCCGCGATCTGGGTCGATATGCGTTCCCCGACGATCGCGCATGGGGGGGGCGAGCTGGGGGTAGAGCAAACACGTCCGGGGTCGTAGCCCATACAGACGCGTCCTAGGGCCGCCAGCCCTGCCATTTGACGCATCACGTCGCTGCCGTCAGCCGCCACAACACGGGGGTCAGGACCCCTACGGTTTTCTTCTAGTGGCTTTCTAAGGGGGGGGGAGGCTACCCTAATAAGGCTGCTGCAACTCCGAGAGCGGCGGCAACTGGACCCCTGGGATGCCGGAGAACGGTTCAATGCGCGCGCACGTACATTAGATAATACTCTTATGTACTGCCCATACCAATATGCACCGTAGCTTGCTCGGGCTGTAAACAGCTAGACGGTTACATCATCCCGTCGTATGGGGGACGGCCGTGGTAATATCCCGCGCTCCCGCCTTGCATATGATACCCCTTCCTCACATACTGGTATACATACGAAGAAGCGTGCGACCGTTTGACCCAGTAACGGGAAGTCCACGAGGTGCTTCACTGTCGCGACCCGCCCTTCCCTGCCCCGGGCTTTTGCTTACCTAGCACCCTTGCTACCTACATACAGACCTAGCATACATACCTACCTGAACATACACACATACGGTAGACGGTAGTTTTACCAGGTAGGTTGTTATGATACCTCTCCTACGACTCCCATGCTTGCCTGCCTGGGAAATATTTTCCCAGGAGTGGGATGGAGGGCTGTCTGGCCGTCCATTGGAGGCGTGGCATCCGCATATGCGGTGCCACCCCTACCCCCCTCGTTCCCCGGCGTGGCTTACCTGTCCATTTTTCTCTTACGGAGCACGGAAAATTCTGTTTCTGGTTTTGTCTTCTCCGTGTCCGTAGGTGCGGCGAATTTTCTTTTACGCTTTGATGCGGATTTCCCGCGCGAGGCTTACCTCTGCCCTCTTTTTTTTTGGTTTTGGCACGCGTCGATCGCCGCTCCGACATGCCAGGTACGCGTGGCTGATCGTCGGCGATCCGTCCGCCTGACAGCCCAGGGACGACGACGCGCGACGGGTGGGTTGGGTTTGGCTGGTTGCGGAAATTGGGTACCTGAATACCTTACCAGGCAAGGTACCCAGGGTTGGGAGGATGGAGACATGTATGTACGCATGTACCTGTCTTCATGCGCCCCATCCACCACCCTACTAGCAGACACATCATGCAAGGCTCTGCGAATGGTGAGGCTTGTGAGCTTACCCTAACTAGGTGTTTTTCGCCTCCGTGGACTGATTCTGGCAGATGTCAATGCGTGACGACTTGATGTCCGCGGTGCATCGTCGCCATCATCGTTAGGCCTAATGCGTGCGGCTACAGCAAGCTTCGTGACTGCTTCGCTCGAACACGAGAAAGCCCGCCTCACTTGCGTGGATTGATGCGTCTTGGGTCGCCCGTGTGGATAGGGGCATAGCTAGGTTAGGAAAGAGGGTTATCACAATTCCGCGCCCTGCGCAGGATAGATGAGAGGTGATGAGTGTGTGAATGTCCTCACCGCTCCTCTCGTGCTGACATGGGTCGCTATAGCTGTTCTGTGTTGACTTCCGTTGATACCCTGAAGTCCTGTATGAGACTTCATGTGAGCTGCCGCATATGGACCCTGCTATTTCTAGGGGTGTAGTTGTGTAGTATCGACTATATGTCGAGGTTGAGACGAAGATAACCGTGACTTTCTTCGGTGACAGCTGAGATAAGCTGACTGTCTACTCACAGTGTTCACCCTTGACCGGTCGTATGGTATCATCACCATCCTCCCCGTCCGAACTACGCCGGTGTGGTTACGAAGCTATCTCATCTGAGGGCGTCTTCGCAATCTCTTTTCATGATTATTTATATGAAATAGGGTGGCATTTCTCACGTGAGAGAACTGTGAATCAGAGCTTGGCTCAGCAATTATGTTGCACGTTACATCTATGTCAGCTACATTCAGACGATACTAGACGTGTTGATTCAATAACCAACAAATCTTGTCAGTACAACGGAGCTGGTCATGTGCGAGAGCTAAGTTCTTCAGATTAGTAGACCTCCGTTAATGTAATAATAGGTGGCAGAGGAGCATCATATCGGCTTCGTTTTAGAGATTTTGGCTTCATACATCCCCGAATGATTTGGCCCATTTCGAGAGATATTGACCTCTTGGGAAGTTTCATGAAGTTGAAATGAGAACAAACTGATGGGACAGGTTGAGAAGGCAAATCTTGCTAAGTAAAAACTAAGCCTCTATTTATATTTATTCTTGCTATTGAGACTCTGGCTACTTGGCCCTAACGCAATGTCCTTAATCCCTCCCAGTTGTCGACTATTTTATAGTACCAAGGTAGCTCTAGTCCATTGATCGAGCTAGATAAGTGCCTTTAAGTCTATCATAGCGAAGACGCCGAGTGTTCGGGACTTATGTAATGACGAAGGTTCTAGGTTAAGTGGTACTCCTGTGTGTAAACCGAATAAAATTATCATTCTACAAAACATGCATTAAGAAATATTCTAACCTTAATAAACTTGCCACACCTACCTAGTTACGACTATGTTGATTGCCAACAACGTACATGCCTAGATATTATCATGGTGTAATAGCATTCTGATAGCTATTATTTCCAATCCTCTTTCTCAAGGTTGTATCTCTTTGACTGATACAGGTTTTCCGTTCCATTGAAACTAATTGCCTAGGTAGATGTCTCGTTCCTCCCTCGCTAGGTATTTTTACAAGAACGTGTATTTCCTAACGAGTTGTAAATATATACAATACCTTACCTACCCAAACAATTAGAGTCATGTTCGTGGTGCCTTCAGCTCTACTAGGTAGGTACATATTTGCCAACTTCACATTGAGACAGTTTGTATTCACCTAAATATATCGATATGAGTAACAGTCGACATGGCATCATTGTATGACACGTAATTTCCTCCTTGGTTACATTTAACTGATCGGAAGGCCACTATATTTGTATTGATGGGTGTTTGAGTACGTCTTAAAATTGCCTTGAGAAAAAAAAACACCGTACCCCGGACTCGAACCGAGAATCTTCGGCTCTATGATCTATATTTGCATATTTGCATAGAAGGCCGACGAGTTAACCATTTCTCTAGTACGGTTTAAAAGTGATATTAGATTAGGTATTGAAACTTATATCTGAGGAAGTCACCAGGCAGGGGCAGACGTCATGTCAGGTGTAGCCCCTTTAGACAAACACTTAGACAAACGCCACAGTATATTGATAATAAGTTACCCTCCACCTAAACTACTCTTTTCTATATCATTATATATATCCTTAACTAGGTATTGTATGACTTCACATTCCCATTGTAGCCAACTTCAATGATTATGTAATCAACTGAATTTCATCGGAACAAGATGATTGGCCCTTCTCTAGGTATCCTCAGCAGAAATAGGATATGACGATATCCAGGTTACACAAATGTAACATATCCTGACCCGAAATAGTACCGGCGCAAATGCGCTGCTAGATTCGGGAATCGAAGTGCGCATATTCGAATATTAGTGGGTCCAGCCGTGCCGTTGGGGATCAGTGATATTATTCAACTCGGCTTTAGTTACCGCTTCTTCTTTTGGACTATAAACCCATTTAGATTATATAATGCCATTGTTAATATTCCGCCTCAATTTTGGCTATACTTGGTTTACATTGAAATATACTATATCGTTGCTTCAAGTGGAAGCTCGGTCATCACAATGATGCCATCCAATGCCCCAGCTGATGTTACAGGCAGTATGGTAGTTGAAGTAGGTTCAGGTACTATTAATGATGGTGCCGTGGAGAAAGTCAAAGAAGCAAAGTCTTGTGATTTGGATTCGACTTCGTGGGGTGTCTTTTCTGGAGATATAATATGTTATAGTCCATGGGACGAGGAGAATTTATTTTCCCGCGTAATAAACAGCGAAGTTGGACATGAGCATAGCATGGGAAATTACAAGTGGTACATCAGTTGCTTATTGAAGATTATCTACAGCGTACGCAAGGTAACCGCCCCCACCCCCTTTATTTTCTTCCTAATTAATCCAATTCAACTACTAATCCAACTTACGAACTTAGCCCTTAACCTTAGGCTACTCAAGAGAGTTCTATTCGACGGGATATGAAACAGATAAACATGAAATATCATGCCCTAGCTTAACAAATGATTCGACAATTTCAGAATCTCCAATTTGGGTACGGAAGACCCTTGGGAGGCTGGGTCGTTCAGACGCTCGAATTTCTTTGGAAGATAAGATGAAACGAGAGGAAAATATCAAGAGCCCAAGTTTTCAAATACGAAAGCAGGTAGAAGTGACCGCTCTACGTGGGCTTGGGGCTCGTTTTTGGCCATACAACGAATTGGATATTTTTAGCTTGTCCGATCCCGAAACTCCAACGGACACATCATCTGAGGATGATGACGAGGATGAAGATGATCCTTTCAATACTCTACATCAGGCGATCAGACAAGCGTTTTCATCCAACACACAGCTAGCGGAAAAGGTCATTGATTACTTACACCAGCTACCACTAGATCGTCAGCAACAAATCTACGGGTATGGAGCTATGTCACTACACGGTGGTGACCGGACTGGCCATTCTGACAACCCGGATTGCAATGAGGACAGTACCGAAACCAGAAAAAGAAAGAGAAAGTCTAATGAGGCCTCTCCGAGTGGCTCGGGGAGCAATCAAGTTGATGAAGGTAATGACCAAGAGAATCAACTCATGGTTGCCCGCCGTCCCTCAGCAGCGCCAATCCCCCAAAAGAGATATGCTTGCGCATACTACAAATCTGATGGAGCTAAATATGGACCAAGGGCTGCAACACGATATAAGTCGTGTGGAGGTCCTGGGTTCAAAGTGTTCAACCACTATAAGTCTGTATACCCATCTGTCTATGATTGTATCGGCTAATTATAGAGAAGGCGTCATTTAGAACGGGTACATCTCCTACATCAATGTTCTCGATGCGGGGTCATTTTTGAGAAGCCAGATGAACTTCACAATCACCTGGCTCAAGACCCAAGATGCAATAGATCAGAAGGGATCGAACGAGAAGGCATGTCTCAGCAAAGGTGGGACGAACTGAAGCAGATATTCAAAAGAAATCGCGGAGGCCATCAGAATCCTTCAGATGTGGACCGGTGGTTCCTTGCTTGGGATGTTTTGTTCCCTGGAATAGACAGGCCACCTACACCCTGTGAGTCGAAGATAATATTTCCTATACTAGAACTTACCCGTGTTACATTTATACTACCTTCGATTTAGCCTTGCTGATTATAAACATATATAGACTACGAGAAGCCGCCTCTTCCTCTTGTATTCACTCAAATACAAGGAGTCTTCGAGGCTAGTTTGAATAGCCTACCACAAGTAGCTCGGGATTCTGATCTGCAATACGGAATCATGAGTCTACTTGAGAATGCTATTAATGCAGCAACTCAAAGTGCACCATTAGAATTTGAAGGCTACGATCACAATATCGCCCTCATACCTCCGCCGGATACTATTAACGTGCACCAAATGAGTGACATTGGAGCCAACCAACACAATCCTACCCCTATATTCAATTGGGGCACGACGGACCCAATTGAACAGCCAGCCTATATAGGCAATGAGCCATTCCTGGATGATCTATTTAATATAAACACATTCGATGCCGATGCCGAAGGTACATGTAAGCATCCCTTAATAAGTCCCCAATATTACAACGCTTGTAAATTAGGATACTAATAACTTCAATACAGGACTAAGATCTGCCTAGGTCTTTCAGGAAAGAGACATCTATCAGTTAGCACATTCATATTATCCGCTACATTGGAGCGATCTTGAAATCGAGATAGGTGTAAGTATGCCCTGCCATGATACGGATATGATAAAATATGAATTTAACATCTTATATTTAATAGATTAGGAGGAGCAAGCAATGATATAGCGTATCCATTTCTTTAAGCTGGCTTCGTTTCATAATATATTCGCATTTAATCCCCCCTTTAATTATTCCTCTTTAAAGCCGAATGTGTTATTGGTCGAGCGTATGCCCATTAGGTTATATTTACCAACTCACTTTAATCCATATAGTAATACCTACCTATGTAACTCCCTAGAACTGTAGTTAGTTTAACATTTGTGTATTAGGAAATGGTTAACATTCCGGTTCAGGGTTAATCTATAAGAATAAGGTTGACCTTTTAATTCAAAAGCATCGCCGTGCTCACTAACACTCAAAACTTCCTTGCCACTATTTAATCTTTGTCTAGATGATGTGGCTACTATAAAGTTTGACGTATCTCTCAGCATAGTTATCTCTAATCTTTCTAGAATATGTACCTACTTAACTAGGTATATAAGCTTGGTGCTTCGTTAAATTTCCTAGGGATAGCTGTTCTAAAGCCGAGTAAAACCATTGCCCCTACAAACTCGCTACTTCTTTATGACATATTTCCAATTCTAGTCGGCTTTAATCTTTCACAGAATGGCGTTCAATACACTCTTCAACGTTACTTATGAAAGCAACCCCGTCACGAGGGCAAGTTTTCGCCAAGAAGATGTTCCGAAGGAAGTATCATTCCGCGCATTGTACAAGCACGAATTCTTAAAAAGAAACCAGCAGCTTTTCAACGGTGATGATTTTATTCTCTGCCATCACGAAGATACCGAGAGCCTCAACAACGCAACAAAGCCTAGATTCTGGGGGCGGATCGCAACGTCTGCTACGTACCCGTTTCGCGAACTTCGGCTGATCTGGAAGGACTTGCGCCTGCTCATGGCAGCGAGACGGGAGGTACGGAGGGCTAATGATCAGCTCATAAGGAATCGTCAAGATCGCGAATATTATATTTGCCGTTTCTCAGACACTGAAGATCCAGATAAGCTTCTAATGACGTTCGAGGAGATTAACCCTTCATCGAAGCGGCAGAAGCAGCAGCTGGAACAACAAGTTCCTGATGCGGTAGACCTTCAGGAGCCGGACTTGCGAGAGCGTAGAAAGCTTGTTGGACATATGACTTGAGGCTCTCTTTCATATGGTCGACACATACAGTCGACTATTACATTCCAGGGTTCAACTACAACTCTCTTATTAATCCGCGGTAGATGCCCATCTCTGCTATGGGAACTAATGCAGACTCCAATCTAGCTACCTACCTATGTAAAAACATTTCAGTTATTTATATCGCGAAGATGACCCACAAGTGGATCTGTTAGATATAGAAAGGCTTACTAGTCACCAGAGCAAGATTCTTGATGACGAGGAGTCATTGATGTTTAGATTAATCCTCTATTTTAATAGTTCGTAAACAACTTCATAGCTTAACTCACTACCTAGGTTAGATGCTCGTCCTTCACCTACCTAGCTTAGGTAGGTATCCGTTTCCCACCGAAGACGTGCTTGGTTCAGATCACTTGTCAAGTTCGGACTCGCTCGATCAAACCACCAAGCGATTAGGCCCTTTTATATCCTTGTATGTGCTAGGTAATGATGAAACGGGTTGGAATTAGCGGTCAAGGCTGACTGCATACTCCTTCCTATGCTGATCCCCTCATTGAGCTGAAGGAGCTTCATTCGGGTTTGAACTTACCTAGGTATGGGCAATGATGGCATAACTTTTCATTGATTGTGTAAAGAAGAAAAAGAAAGAGTTCATGGCATTAAATGGTCATTCGTGGAGTTCCTACGAAGATATTTGAGGAAGGATGGCCGATCTATAATGGACGCCAAAGCTGCGGGACCTGCCTGAATAGGAGAGATCACCACTCGCCCGTCAGCAACGGATACCAGCCGTCAAAGCTGACACCAGTGCGGAATTCGGTCCCGATCGACTGGACTGTCACAAATGACTAAATTTATTCCAGACAAAAGGCTCTAAGGGATGATTTTCGGCAGATCGTGCCTTTTTTTCAATCCTTCGCCTTTGCGGGGTTGAGACACGGAGAACAGAACACGGACAAATCCTTTTTTTCCAGCCAGCTCTTGTGCTCTGCCAGCCAGCGTAATATGGACTTTACACCTCCACCAATACGTACGTCGCCTGGCTGCATCAATAAAGTGGCAAGTAATAATTAGGTGGTACAACATAGCTGCATAGCTAGAATTCTGGCCTGATCGGGATCTAG